CACATAAGCGACAAGGAGGAAAATCTCCTCCTATGACAAGGATACCCATTAAATCTATATATATATATATATATATATATATATATAATATAATATATATAATTATATATATATATATATTATTTATTATTTATATATATAATAATATCATATACTATAGCGGATTTCCTCCTTGACGCCTATGTGGCACAATCCCAACATTCTCATAAAGTAGGAGAGAGTGTGAGTTGGTGGGGATTTGTGGCCTACTTTACGAGGAGGTGGGGATTGTGGCCACATAAGCGATAAGAGGAAAATCTCCTATGACAAGGATACCCATTAATATATATATATATATATATAATATATATATATATATATAGTGATATAATAATATATATATCACCGGAAGAAGAAAGAATGTGAACATGTTTGACTATGCAGTTTTAAACTATTCAAATGGCTTTCTAAAAAAATTATAATAAAGTTATTAATAAATTTTCAGAACTGAGACAATATGAAAGCAAACACTATATCTAAAACCTGAAATCCAATATAATAAAGTTTTAACCAACCACTCATAAAACCCGTCAATATCACCCTGTAATGACTTGCTCATATAAATCTTTACCTGCTTTGTCATCAAGTTATTTACAACTCATGCCATCAACTATTTACCGCTAATGCCATCAAACTATTTACAGCTAATGCCATTAAACTATTTACTACGAATGCCATCAACTAATATCATATGTATTAATCAGATTGATAACTTACAAATATTAAAATCATGAAAAATATATATATAACGAGTGGGAGAAAGAATCAAAAGTAATAATAATTATCAAATAATAATATTGAGGAAAATAATGCTTGCCACGATACGAACGCCAGTAGAAAAATCCTAGGTTGACTCCTTCAACTTTGACAGTCTTCCTCTCTTCCTAAATTTGTTTTTTTAACTACGGGGCAAGGCAGAGGCGGTGGATGAGGGTTTTAAGAGATGAAAGGGTTAGGTGGGTTGGTTAGTGAAGATAAGAGGAGATCAATGGGTTGGTTAAGCATTATATCACCAAAAAGGGTTAGGTGGGTTGGTTAGTGAAGATAAGAGGAGATCAATGGGTTGGTTAAGCATTATATCACCAAACAACTCTTAGGATCCGTGAGAGGATAACTAAGAGGAGATCAATGGGTTGGTTAAGCATTATATCACCAAACAACTCTTAGGATCCGTGAGAGGATAACGGAAAGATGGAGTTAGGCCTTCTTGATTCTAAAATACTCATGGGCCTTACATAGATTTGTTTATTATTATTATTTTTAATTCAAAAACAGATGAGCCTCCTATATAATTGATTAGTATAAGAAAATTTTGATTATTACACTTTAAAAAAAAAACCTTTCATAAACCCGGCCTGACCTAACGCACACCCTTAAACCTGACCCGCACCTATAAAAACTAATCTCTCTCTCTCCCTCTCCCACCCTTTCTCTCCGTCCTAACCTGCACCCTAAACCTTGGCCACCCCTCCTCCCTCTACCTATCCTACCCCCTCTGACGCTCCTCCTTCTTCGATCCCCCCCTTGGCTCTCCTCCTCACTCTCTGTCCTCCCTTTCGGTGCTCCTCTCTCCAACTGCCTTTGGGCGCAACCTCCTACCCTCACCTCTCTGGCCAGCTCCGGTCACCTCCGGCGAGTGACTCATCTCTCCTTCCTCTATTAAAGATAATGTTTATTTCTTTATTATTTTCATTATTTTTTACTTTATTCACTGTTTATGTTGAAAAGACTTTTAATTCATTGTTAGTAGTTGGCTAAAATTTTATTCTATTGATTATTGAAGGTAATTTTTCTGCTATTTTTCCTTTGGTTTTTTAATTTTTATTCACTTGTTTTGTATTTTTATTCATTGTTTTTGTTATTTCTTAGTATAATTAGTTAATTTATTCAATTTTAGTTTAATTATTGACTTTAATTCATTGTTAGCTAGTTGATTAATTATTTAGGTAGTTTTTTATGGTTTAGTAATTACTAGTCTAGGGCTTTAGACCTCACTGTTAAAGTTTTATTGAACTTAATTAGTTAATTATAAATTATTTTGGCTATTTGGTATTTATGCATGGTTGATTATGAATTTAGAATTGTTATTTATTTTTTTTGGCAATTTTCATGAATTTTATTCATGTTTGTGTGAATTATTATAAATAATTAAATTAAAAAAAGCAACGCCTAGGCGCTAGGCCCCGGCTTAAACGCCTAGTCTACCTAGCACTTTTTATAACATTGTTTATGCATGGATGAGTGATGAAAAGTTTTTTTTGGAAAAATATATTTCACCTCCATTGACTTTAAAAACCAATTTTCCTCTCTCAAGTCAAAAGATTTTACCACCTCAAACCCAAAGAATCATGCTTCTACCCATTATGCTCACATGCATTTTTTAGTATCCCTGAAGTACCCTTGTTATGTCATCACTCTTGACATTGTGTCTTTCCTATCTCCTCATAAAGCCATGAACTCTCTCTTTTCTCCTTCTCTCTCAACCACTATATTTTCTGCTTTGTCGCCAAGGCCAACCTCTTCTTCACCATCATCATTGCCCCCTTGCTACCCTTCTCTCCGTTTCCCCCCCACCAGAGTAGGACAGTGTTGGGGTTTGAAAGGAGCTAGTCACGGAGGTAGGAAGAGGGATTGGTTTTCATGTGATAGCAAAAGTGGTGGACTTAGTCGTATGTAGTTTAGGGGTTCGACAAAATCATGTTGATTTTCATGCTAGGGGGTGGAAGTCAGAGAAAATTTTCTTTAGGGAGCTTGTTTTTCGAAAGCTAGGGGATTAGAAGAAATATTCCTATATTCATTTTTGAAGTTACGATTTTTTGTTGGAGCTTTTAACCAAGTTTTATGCAGTGTTTTCAAAAGCACGCGTCTCATTGCACCTCATGCACCCTACGATGTGGGGCGGTGGCGAAGCGCATCGCATTTGATGTAGCAACGCTTTTGCGCCTCGCAAGCATCCTGGCTTTACGCGAGGTGCATGTAGTACATAGCTAGCCTTGTATATTTTTGTTCGTTAACATTTCAATTGAGTTTTCATATATGATAACCCATATTCCAAAAAGCAGAATAAATCCACTAGTCCTTATTCACTGTTTGATTTTGCTAGGTTATTAATCTTGATTTGACATTTGATATGAAAATTATGAACTTTACGACTATATTGGATGTGTTAGCATTAGAAAATAAGACCTTATATATTTGTGATTTGGTAGTAAGATACTATTTATCCTGACATATTTTTTTATATGAATTCTTGTACGTGTTCTTTCGTGCTTGATTATCTATTTTGAAAGTTATGTTTGCGATGTGCACTTCGCATCACTCGGGCATGCACATCGCGTTAGGCCTTGCACATGCACATGTACGTGTAAAGATGCTTTGTGCCCCGCATTGCGCCTTGCACATTAAAAACACTGGTTTTAGGTATGATGATATTGAAGCTGAAGTTGTTGTCGAAACTGCTGAGAAGAAGTGCAAAGGCGATGTTCGTGGCAAAACCTCCTTGTCAACTCCAAGGTCTAGAAAGATGGAAGAAGTTCTCTAAGATCAAGAAACAGGCTTTGTTAACAAGTAGAAAAAAGACAAAAAACGATTATTCCCACAGACTCAAATCTCTCTTAAATAGAGCTTAGGACGGTTACATAAGTGGGTATAAATATTGATCCAAGTATCCAAGTATTCCCAAATAGCTAAACAATTAATAAACATCTAACAATTCTGAGTTCTGGAACAGGTAGTAAGGATGGTAGTAGCAACCTTGGAAAAGTACATGTTGGTGGTTTAGCAGTCATACACCAGACGGTTTATATATTAGAGGAAATGGGAGCATAGCTAATGAAAGCGACTTGTCCACATGTTGTTTCCACTGGGACTCTTCCAGAAATGGAGACAATGTCCGGAGAGACGTAAACCAAATTGGTGGTAGTTTTTAACTGATGTGCAACAAGGCATGATGATGATGATTAAGTTTTGTACCAGCTGTGGTGTGTGAGAAATTAGATTTCTGCTGGTGTCAGTGCAATGAGAATAGTGAATGGCTCATGAAGCCTTTGCTAGACAGTTCATGATATTGGTTGCTAAGTGGTGAGCAGGAGAAATTGAGTATAGATGAAGATGGTTCTCTTTTCTCCATGTTCAGAGAAATTTAAGCTATTAGAATTTTCATTTATCACCAACCAGGGATGTCTCTTGTAATCATGGAGATGGGATGCCCATAATTTGGCTCTTTGGAACAATTCAAATTTGCCAATGATAATACTATATAGAGTTTGTAGTTCCAGGAAGTTGGGAAAAGATTTCTGTGATACATAAATGATCGTTGAGATAGTGATAGCGTAAAGAATAATTGTAATCATAGATATAAGTTAATGAATAAGACGATCTTGAAAAAAGAATTAAGAAGATAATCAGAACTAAGAGTAATACCAAAAAGGAGAAAAACCAAATAAAGTAATGGAATTTAATGGTCAGTTTAACCAGATAAGTGGAAAGTCATTATTAGATGTGTCCAGTCCAATATGTTTGCCTAATCTATAAAATATTTGACGCGTCGGCATTTTTTTGATCATTAAGTTTGTTTTATCAAAATTTTGTACATATTTTTTTATTAATTAGAAAAATGGAGGTTTCCTTTAAAAAATAAAAATAGAAGAATGGAGGTATATTAAAATTCAAAGTATGTAACATGAAAAATAAAAATGACATGTAGATGCAACTAAACTTTATTGTTTATTATCTTTATTTATTTATGTGGACAAGTCACTATACCTAACGAACTCAATTGTCTCCCAGTCTTACTACTTTTGCAGCTATAAATTAGATAAAAACAGATTACATTTTTCCTTGTTCAAGATCTTTTATAAAGCAAAAGAATCCAATGCAATTGGTAACATGGATAAACTTAATTTTATCTTATTATAAATTGGTATTATGTACTTGACAAAAGTTGGTTGCATACTTTACAGATTCGTTGTTGTACTCAATGGATGAAGATAATAGACCTATGGACCTTGATTTAACAGACAGTAATAATTGTAATGCTCAATCTTCGAACGAAAAGTCCCTAGTCGCCACACCTGTTGACGGCGGTTCATCAGGTAGAGGTTTGCCTTACGCTCCCCAAGATTGGCCAAAACCTGGGGATGTATGGACATGGAAAGTTGGGAAGAGAAGATGTGCTTCTGGTCACTGGGTTGATAAGTCCATTTGTCCTCCACGCCATTTAAGGAATTCCTCGGGTAACAAGCTAATATTTCATAGTCGTTCTTCACTTAAACAATATATTCTAGAAGAATACCCTGAAGAAGATGTTGATGCCTTCTTTGCCTCTTTTATCTGGAGAGTTCCTGCCACTGGTCATATACTTAAAGGTCAGCTTTCTGTAGTTTCTTATCTCTGTTTAATATCTACTACAAGAAACTGTGCACTTGATAGAAAAACAAAAGGGTTATTTGTGGACAGACCCCTTGAAAAGCGTCAAAAAATTTCACTCATGGGGTCTATCGCAACAATAGAACTACAACGGTCATAAGTTCAATTTGGCGATAGTTCAGGGGGTCTATCTGCAATTGACCCAACAGAAAAAGTATATCAACTTGGGTTGTTTTATTGGTTTCTTTGTATCTATATTTGGTTCATATTACTGTCTTGCTAAGTGCATGACATTCTACTTTTATCCCTAAGAACCTGCTCATGTCACCTCTTTCTACAGCTTTTTATAATTCAAACCACTTATGTATCACCAAGCTGTTTGTTTTTCTGTTGAATAATTACAGAATCAAGTTATAATCAGATCATACTGGCATGATCCCCCCTCTTGGCCATTGATAAGTTAGTTTTAACAGCTATATTGATAATTATAATGAAGGGGTACAATGATCATTAACATAACATCAAACAGAAATATTTAATTCTACTATTGTTGAATTTTCCCAGTATGTCAGTGTTAGATGACAAGTGATCACCTTCTGCTGTACCACATCTTTTCCTTTCTGAAGCTTTGCGCGTACGTGCATGTGTGCGTACGTGCGTGCGTGTTTTTTGACACCTTAGATTCAATTTAAGAAGGCACCTTTAAAACTACGTTAAATGCAATCAATTTTCTTAATCCACTCTGTTCATCAATTTATATGTTTTGTTTGTGTGTGTGTAATGTGTGTGTTCCTAAGGTGACACCTTCAAAACTACATAATATGCAACTTACTTGATCCTTCATTTTGATTTATATGTTTGAATTGCACACATGCGCGCGCGTGTGATGCATATACATTTTCATCATGCATTTTGCAGAAATGTCTAGTTATAACATTCTTGAGATCTTGATATATTGTTCTATGTTTAGTCATATTTGTTAGATTAGTCAGGCAGGTCTGCCATTCTTTTGTAAACAGATAATATTCTCCTGCATAGTGTCATCCATTTTCATACTAAACAATTTGTTTACATATATGCTGCATGTCAATTTTTCATGCATTTTGCAGAATCAGGGCCTGGGTTGTCCAAAATTGTAGAACTCAATGGACGTCCCAAATCTGAACTAGCTAGTGGACTACGTGAGTGTAAAGCTGGTAATAAAATGTGCAGTCTAAGAACAAAAGCAAAAAGCTATGCTATTCCATTGAGGTCTTGTGATATCTGCTGCAGCGAACCTGGTTTTTGTCATGAGTGTTGCTGTATTCTATGTAGTAAAACTGTTGACTGGACGTATGGAGGTTACAGCTTTATCAGATGCGAGGCGCCTGTGGATGAAAGGTTCATTTGTGGCCATGTGGCACACATAGAATGTGCTCTCCGTGCTTACCTCGCTGGGAAAGTTGGGGGGAATGTTGGTTTGGATGCACAGTATTATTGCAGATGCTGTGATAATAAAACTGACCTCTTACCACATGTCGACAAGTTTGTAAAAACTTGTGAATCTCTTGACTCTGGAGATGATGTTCAAAGAATATTAAGTCTGGGTGTTTGCATCTTGCGCGGTTCAGAACAGGAACGAGCAAAGGATCTCCAGAGTCGCATTGCACTAATCATGGATAAGGTACTGCTGCTTGTATTTCAGTAATAATTTGGTTTCCTGCATATCAACCTGCCAAATCTATATGTGCTCACATTCACCTTCCAAATCTAGGTATTTGCTAATCTACCCCAAATTCTCCCACATTGGACTTTTCTATCCCGCAAGTGTAACATCGTTAAATTTTACACAGTGAGGGGCTATAATGAATAATTACCCCCTTCATTTTAGAGGGGAAGGGGC